GCAGAAAAAAGAAACCCATTATTTCTACCAGCTGTTTAGGTAAAAGTAGTCTGAATTCAGAGCCAGTAATAACTATCAGCACTCTTATACTATCTTCACTTTATAGCACGGAATCTTGAAAACACCTGTTTATCCTTGATAAGTTTCAGCTTCAATAAATCTGCTTCACACTTTAACTCATTTCTTAACCACCGTGACAGTTCACTGTCTTCCGTTCAATCCCCCCCAATTCAGAGACTGTTTCCTCGAGATATTTTCAGTTTCTACACTCACTTACGTCAGGGTGTGGGCTGGTTGACAGTCGACAGTTTCAGATTTATTCTGCAGTATTCATGCTTTCCAGTACTTAACATTAGAAAGTTGTCGAATTGTGGACTGAATTCGCATTGGCGAGACGAGCTTGCATACAGTGTAATCTCTTTAATCATACAGTATGGCGTAACCAACTCTTTGATGTGGGAAGCTGGAAACATACAAATAATTGTGGATGCACAGTTTTCTTCAAGAATATTTGGTTCAAGTCCGGTCTAAAAAACCGCCTCTAATTTCTATACAGGAATAGCGTAGTGGTACAGCCGATTATCAAGGCCTCATTCTAGTAAATAGTTCTTTTTTTCAATATCTTAACGGGCTTTGAGAAATGCTTCGTATAGTTATAATAATGAGAAATGAGTCAGAAAGAATAAAAAACCAGCCATAAGATCTAAAGTTCTCCACATATTTGTTTCTTCTGTACCAATACTGTAACTAAATATAATAGAAGCTTTTTTAACTCCTATCGGAAAAAATCCTTGAAGTAAAAACTTCTTAACTTATTACTGTCACATTACTTGACAGATATCATTAAGATGTGCAAAGCAATTAAGGGTGATTTGTAGATGGAAGTTTAGTTCTGTTACAAGGCAAAATTCATTTTAAAGATCAAGATGGCTTGTAGAGAGAATTTTTTTGGTATTTGCGGTGCACTTTGATTAGTAGCTTGAAAAATTAAAATAAGTGATTAAGTGTTAAGGAAATTGACTAGTTTGAGATAAGGTTTAGGATAAAAGCAGAATATTTGGAATGTTAAATCTATAAGCATTCAAAATAGAGCATGGATTTACGTATTGATTAAATATATTTTATTTTTTCGTTCTCCACTTTATACTTAATATGTGTACTGCTGATTCGTCATCATTATTTGAACCATAACCGAATTTCCACCACTTTCTGGCAACCGACAGAGACAATTGCTTTTCGGATAAGTCTACATGGTTGTCTGTTACATAACAGCGGTCAAATACAAATGCTAATGGTAAGCACATCTCCGAGGGGTCTATTGGTGGTACCATATCGATTATAGTTGTAAAATACTTATGTATGAGTGAAAAAGCGATTGTTAACAGTAGCAACACAGTAGGCCTTTGAGAGCTTGAACGAAAATTAGGCCTAAAAGACGGGATGTTGGTTTTCGCATAACACTTCTTACCAAAATCTTTTACTAAATGAGCCCCGTCGACTTTCGATTAACGCTAGAAAGTACAATATTAGCAACTCAGGCAACTTTTTTAATTTCTTCAATGTAAAGACAGAATTCAAATTTCATGAGAAGTAAAGTTTACTGGAAAATTATCAGCACTGCGCTGTTTAACTTCGTTTTTTGAATTTTAGTTCGTTTATAAACAAAACGTGATCTCTAAGCGGGAGAAAATTTAGCCAAATACAAAAGATATTGACATAGCGACGATGCTACTGGCAAAAAATGTTACTTTTTTTTCTAATTTTTGTAAAAAAAAAACCACGTTGAAATAGCGTAGAAGGGATTTCCAATTACGAGAAATCCTATTTGATTTGGCCTGGTTGGTCTGGAAAGTTGGCTATTGAGTCGTTTCCTATTCTTTTTTTTTCATTTACTTACTGTACTAATCTCTCGTTATTGCTGTTTATTGAAAATTTAGGTTTGGATGGCCCGATTTCATACAACAATATGCAGAAGAAAGACACTTTTGTAAAATACAAAGGAGAATAAATAATTACACATTAGAACAAAAAGTAGAAGAAGCATTAACTTTTTGCGTGTTATTTTGTAAATTTTTTACAGCATCGCAGTGCTGTAAAGAATCTGTAAAGAATAGGCTGTTAGATTTCAACATCAAGATGTTGATACAGCCAACGGACTTTTAGCGTGATTTCACAAGCCTCTCACAATGATCACTTACCTAACATCCCCTTTTCGTTAAAAAGACTTGAGACCGCGGTGTGTGCATTTCTGGTGTGCCTGTAATACGATTCTTTTATCAGTGGAATAATTAGGGTTTTACGACAGGTTAATTTCCCAGTTAAGCCGGAGCAATAAATCAGATGAGTAAAAGCAAACTGTGGGCTTATGTATAGTTTCTATACGCATTTCAGGCAGTTTTTTCACAAATTTACATACAGTAATTTTAGGCCCACTTACAACATTCTCTCAACAAAGCATTGTTTAAAGATGTATTCATGAGCAAAAAAAAAAAACAAAAAAAAACTGGTTTTCGATGATTTTAACAGAATTCTACCGTCAGTAATCTCTAAAATCTTTTTCTTTCACTTAAAACAGCTCATCTTTCCCGACTCTGAATTTCAATGGGTACGTAAAAGATGGGTGTTAAGTTAGCTGAAGATAAAATACCTCTCTTTTGCAAGTAAACACCGGTAAGCTGAGCAAGATCAATGTTTTGATCAAGCCATTGTGTTGAGTACAACCAATAACTTTTTGGTCTAAAAATACGTAAATCTGTCACTGATAACTGAAATGATGGTGGCAAAAAATTGAATGATTAAGCGTGTTATCAAAATATTTTTATTTATGTTACTTATCATTTATCTGTCGGCTTTCTACCTTCCTCTAGTAACCTTTTTCAAGTGGGTCTTTCCTAGCAACAGTGGCACCTCTCGCACTCAGAATACTTCCTGAAAAAGAAACAAGAATTGCAGAAAGAACAATTATAATTTTATTGTCATTAAGCTGCAAATAGCTAAAAGATAATGACAACAATTTATAATACTCATACTAGCACTAACATTGATGCTCTTACTATTATACTACTAATAATAATTATAATAGTAAGTATAATAATAACAGTAATTATTGCAATAATAATAGTATTAGTAAGTATAATAATAATGATAGTAATGATAGTAATAATAATAAAAATTTGATAACTAGAGAACCTGATAAAATTAACTTTTCGATTAGTTAAGCTGATTTACTGAACTGTGTGTCATTGACCACCATTCAGATCATATTTTCGGTATCATACAAAAACGTCAGTTCACATTTCGATAATGGCATTTGTGAAAAGTTTAATGAGAAAATATTTTGAGAGACTTACAAATCCTCAGAACAAGAAATAATAATTCAAATAAAAGTCCCCATATAATTTTTTCCATTAAATTTTTTTACAAAGACTGATGAAAACATACGATGTTTATTTCCGGGAGTGCTTAAAATAGTTTCCTTACAAGCTACTAACACTGGAGAGAATTTGAAATATCACAGTGTCTTCGAGGAGATCGGTACGTGTTAAAGTTGATTCTTTTTAGTATTAAACGTTTAAAGGTTTTGCAAGGGAAAGTCTGACTGACACCGTGTAAGCCTGAAAACACTAGAGTTCACGAGAAGATACAGGAAATTGCCAAAAAATTCTTACAGCTTTTAGAAGGAACTTTTATTGAACTCGTTCGACAAGCTTTTGAAATGAAATTTTTTTTATCATCACAGTAAATTGAGGTGTCTAGCAAGTTGGCGCTAAAAAATTTCATCTACTGTTTATCACTGTACCTACTTATCTCAGTGTAATTACGTAAATGTAGCTATAGAAAGTCGTGTTTTTTTTAAACTGTCTGATAAAACATGATGGTTGTCTGGTCCTCTTTTGTCTGAAAAGGAGTGATATAAGATGATCACCTTCTGAAGTGAGAATGCCGCCGACGAACAACAACTGTGTACAATGGCCTATTGACTGAAAAGCCAAAATTGAAAAAGGAGAAGAAACATTTGCTCATGTCAATTTAAGCATTTTTGAATTAATTTTAATTCAACCATGTCCAGTTTATTAATGCTACTGCTAATTTCTTTCAGATATACTTAACATGAATTAAGCTTCAGCTTTATGTTAGGCGACTGTTTGGTATCATCCAACTTTTTACTACAGACCAAAAATTTTGCATTTTTTGCAAATTCTTATAATTATTTTTTTCATTTTGTTACACCAAATTGGCCAAACAGAGCGGTATGAACAGCGATCAAAAAACTGAGAGGTGTTTCATCAGAAAGCAGATTGAAAAAACAGTCTCAGTTTTCGATTTTTGATGTGACGGTGCTAGTTTCAATTACATTTAGCAGTTTCTTCATGCTTTTGTCTTGTCGAATAACCACAGTAATATGCCAAGTTTTTATAGCCAATCTGTATGGCAAAATTAGGATTCCGACTAACTAGAGTGTGTTTATGCATATTCTTTTCAGTTTAACAAAGTTCAGCTGGCTCATCATTGTCGTTATTGTTCTTGTTATTATTATTATTGTTCTTGTTATTATTATTATCATTACTATCATTATTATTATTACTACTATCCGCTGTCCGTCTTGAGAACAAGATTTATTGTCGTCTTTATTATGCTTATGGTTTCTTGTTGCTGTTCAGTCTGTTACGCAATGTTTAGGGAAATTCTGCATAGCGGCAGTTGTGTGTATGGTTCTAGTCAGCTTACTTTCATTTTAATTAAAATTTATTATTCCTTTAAAATTAATTTGGTCTTAAATTAGAACTTTATTCTGATATAGTTTTTATTTTTATTTATCAGTAAAAACTATTAAACAATAAAATACGAGACAGATTTTAATCCCTCGATGTGGTTTAGTGTGTTGAAATACTCAGTAAAATATATGTATTTAAAATGATTAGAATGAAGCAAATCTATGATCGGATATCTTTAATAATTGTTTTTATAGGAGGTTTCTAAAACTGTTATACAGCGGCACAATGCAGAAGAAATGGTTGATTATTCTTTTCTGCCTGCCAGCAGTTGGCTCCTATTTAAGTTCATCGTTTTTTTCTTGGATTAATACAACTTATGGTGAAAATATCGCTCATCAGTTAAACCGAGCAGATCTTAAACAAGCTGGCAGCTATGGTGGTGGAAATCACACAGGTGGAAGTAAAACCCGGTAGTTTACCATTATTAATTTTTGAAAAATAAAAAAATAATTTTTCTAAATTTTTTTACAGTTAACTAAAAAGAATTGTGATTTGAATTTTGTTTTGTAGTTTTTTCATGGTCTAGGATTTTGTGTTAAAATTCTAGCTAATTTAAGTAGCCCTCTAATTAATAATGAATCTCACAGGTTATTCTGAAATAAGCTTAGTGGTTTAAAGTCTACGAACGAACTCTCTAATTTTGTACTGAGCTGTTCAGTTTGCTTTACCAGAAAATTTCAGCCATGAACCTGTGATTGTTGTTCACGGCTTAAGCAGTATAGCTGGAACGTTCCGTAGCATAGGAAATTACTTCCTAGAACATGGATATACCAAAGATGAGGTTTATTCAACAACGTGGGGAAAAGGAGCTGAAGATGACATCGCTAATGTGACGCTTGAATGTGGGAAAGTCAAACAGGTGTTATATGTTGTTTGTATGAATTAAAAAAAAAAGGGAAAATTGGTATTAAAAACTTCTAGAAAACCACATTTAGATTCGATACTTTATTGAAGCAGTTAGTCGATTTACAAATTCAACGGTAGACGTTTTGGCATTTTCTATGGGTTCGCCAGTGGCTCGAAAGGTTAACAAAATCTTGCTTTTTTGTTGACGCAGTAAATCCTACTAAGAATTTATTGCAGAGTAGATAATCTTTGATTGTTATAAGTTTCTAAAATTGGGAGGAAATTGAAATAAAATTGAATAAACATATAAATGCTGCATCTTTGTTCCAAAATTTTTGTCGTATTTTAAAAACTCGTTTTTGCTGTCTGTCCTGGTGAAACTGAAGCTACCTTGCCGAAATGAAGTAGGTTTGCTAAAAGCCTGCTAGGCTAGAAATCTAGTCTGCCAATTTTTGGTCAAAAAAAAAGATACAGAGGAACATTTAAAGGAAACTATAGAAAATGAAAGACAAATTCCAGGCAATCTTAGGTGGTAATTGCGTAGATAACGGTGCATATCTTGGAAAACCAATAACTGAACTTATCGATACATTTATAAGTGTGGGCGGTGCAAATTATGGTTCGTTTTTGTGCGATTTAATGGAACCAATAGGGACTTGCAACAAATTAAACGGTCTTCGTTGCGGTTCTAAATACCTTCGAGACATTAATTTAAGGTATGGTCTTACTGTCAACTTCTGTTGTTTGCCATTTTTCAGACTATTTTGTTGACGATGAAACAAGATACTTTTGCCTTGATCAGTGAGTTTAAAGGCCATTAAAATAAGCAACAAAGTATGCTTGCAAGACGATGATCCTGTTCTTTGTAGTGATACTGTAAAAGCTTGCCTGGCTTAATCAGATAATTTTAGCAAATTAAAACACTATGAAGGATCATTTGTGTTTTCAATATATTCAACAGATGACGATATGATTGGATGGAAAGAATGTGGTAACATTTTAGGCTCCGTTCCAAACGAAGATCAAGCATTTAAAGCAAGTTTCTAAACCTTCTCCTTCCTTGATCGTAAGCGTTGGTTATATTACATTGTGTCCTAATCACATTTATAAATAATAATGCCTCAGTTTCAGTTTGAGGATTTGGACCATGAAGAAGTTTTATTTGGAACTTTGGCATTGCAGTATTCGTTAGCAACTAAACATAAAGCTACTCGTTCTTCTCTGTGAATGCCATTGCGCGTGAATAGATGAAAGTGATCCTCACCAGTTGATTTAATTGATCACCCTAACCGCCAAAAAAAGCAATAACTGCTTAGATAAATAAATTTTTAATCAGATTTAGTGCACAATTACTAAACGTAATCAGTTTTTTAACATCTCACTAAATTCAAAAAGTACTTGCACCTTTAATACTGAAAAATGCTGATGTTCCTCGTCCAAAATACAGATTTTTATCATACTCCCTTGATGTGAAAACACTTCTTCTCCAACAACCGAGGAAACATTTCTTTTTTTAGTCTTAGCACCTTATAAGAAATTTGCTTGAATTCGTCATCGTTAAGACAAGTCAATTTCTGTAGTCTCACTAATAATGTCTTTGCACAGAACCTTATAAGAAGTGTGTATGTCTTCTAGGCCATAGATTCTGTAACCGTACTGGTTCAAGCCATGCAGTGATTTGAAAATAGGCATACATGAATTGTATTTCCAAGGTTACAGCAGCGATCAAAACTTAACAAATAGTTAAAGTGTGGAACTAGAGCTAAATTCAGAAAAAACTATAATTAACATTATTTGGCGTAATTCCTGACGCGACGATTTTCGTGAATTTTTTTGATCCAGTTACGTATGCTGCGGTTTGTAATGTTCTTTCTCACAGCCGATATTATTTTGCTGCAAGATGCATGTTTTGAAATAAAATATTTGATGAAAAAATAATTCAACAAAGAACAGGAACAATGCTATTCGTGAAAGTGGAGCGAAGCCCAAGTAAATGAAGTGTCGAATGTAAACGTATAGGTACTACCAGAAGTAGTAAAATGCCAGGGAGCGCTGTTCTACAACGAATGGCTAGCGCTTCTTCTAATTTTACAGATGTTGTATGTTCGCCATGAGTCAGATCTGTATGCTGCTAACAAGCTGTTTGGAAACCACCGCAAACCGAAAATTAACATAAAAAGATTAAGCCAAATACGAGTGGAGAGTAAAAATACAAATTTTACCAATCTCAGTGACACAATAGTGACAGTTAGTAATAAATATACATTTCTAGCAGCTTCAAAAATTTAACCGGAAAGCCAGCAAAAGTGATTTCCCAACCTTTATCCTTCCAGCTGTTTATCTGTGTTGTTCACAATTCGTTTGGAAATTAGAAACCTGAAAATCATAAAACTTAATGATCAACTTATATGAGCTTTGCTAGAAGGATGCAGTGAAAATTGAACGCTAAAAAAAGTGATCTATTGCTCTCGGGCTTTCGTTTTTTGAAAGTTCACTCGTCAAATTACCGTGTTTATTTATTTTTTTTTTTTTGTAAGCAGATTTGAAGGCTCAAACTACTCTTTGCCAGCTTATAACCTCAATGGAAGCTCTTTTTTTCACTGAGATTCTCTTTTGGCTTTTACGTTTCACGCTTGTAGCTTCAAATTATTAACAAAATAACAAAAATAACTTTTTCCAAAACTTCCAAGCGCGTATTGTATACCCATCAACAGCTTCAGTACTTATTCCACATTTTGGCTGTTTTCAAGCTGTTTAATTTATCAGAAGGCCAAATAGGTCTTGTAAGAGAATGTTGCGAATGACCTAAAAAAATCTGTATCAATGACGCTAAAACAGCAGCAACTGTAATTAAGTAATATGATAGACATTTTAGTTTTCTAGTGTCTAATGTTTACTTAATTCACAGCAGTTGATATCTAATTTCAAGAGTTACCATAACGAATAAGATATCATCGTGTTGTATAGTGTTTGAAAAAAAAAAAAAAAAAGAAGGAACTAAAACTGCTGATTAAGATTTAAATTTGGTAACTGTTTGCTGGATGAAGTTAACTGTTGTGATATTCTGAATGTTTAAAGCCAAAAAATTTTTTTTGCTTAATTTGACTCTGATGCACAAAATTTTCAATGTTATGTGCAGCACTTAATCTAAAATCATTTGTTTATGCAACTTTTAATTAAGTTTTTTCTTATTGCTTTACTATCTCTGCAGTTTTAGTTTAAGAGAATGACAATGGGCGTGAGATTGATTTTTGAGGAGGAGATTTGGAACAAATTATCGTACCGATAACGAACAATAAGAGAGTAGAATGGTATTCAGCCGACCGATATAAGACTAATTTAAGTACTCGAAATTGACATTTACGGCTGTGTATCTAAAAAAAAGTAATTTTAATGAAATAAATGCCGATAGAGAGTTAAAAGTGTTATTCTTTTAAATTTTTTTGCTTTTGCAGCCAAAAACTTTATGTATCAGTACTACTATATTTCCTCGAGTTATAAATGACAGCTAAGCAGGTAGATTAAAGAATTTTATAAGTGTCAAGTTTCGTCTATACCATTTTTGTTTAGCGGTTTTGCTATAGTACTCTTATTATTTTTTTTTTTTTGCTTTTTTGAGTTTTGTGTGTTAATGCTTTTTAATATAAAAACCTCTTATCTTTTACATCTGTAGCTGCTTTAAATAAATTCATTTTTTAATAAAATAATTGGGAAGACAATACTGTACTTTATCTTCTTCTCCACATTCTCACAGTATACATCAGTATCACTGTGAGACTGCCCAAATGTCTTAGAGTTTATATATTTATACAGATCAAATTTCCTGTAATTTGCAGTGGTTTTTGGAAAGAAAAGATTTTTTTTTTCTTTCAGAAAAACAGCCTATCAGTTAAGATGAAATTTCTGCAATTACGGTCTAAAACTGTAGAAACGTTGTCAGAAAGTATGAAAAGTTTTTGAGCCACGTTCTGTATTTAAAAATTTAATTTTTAACTTTAATTCATTATTAATTTCCATCTTTAAAATAAATTTAAATTTTGCTTCTGAACAAACAGATGCAGAAATAAACAATTTCATCGAAAAGAATTTCAGCAACGAGTGAGAAAGACCTCGTCAAGTCGTTAAAAAATTTTTTTTTAAATTTCAAACAAAGTTTCTTTTTTTTTTTTACAGCTGCTTTTGTTTTAAACTTCTATACTTTACATGGTCCTCAGAAAGTTAAACCACTGTCAACCTACAGATGCTATCGGCTAGTAGTATTCGTACATAAAAATTTACTAAATATTTGTAAATCTTATGCAGTGTTAGACAGCAAACATATGTCTAAAGTCTGTGGAAACTCTATTACATTATGCGGCGACCCCATCGATGCCACAGAAATCAGAAAATAACCTAGAAAAACTAATAAATTTTGTTCCAACGGCACCAGATAATGTGTGTCGTTGCTTTTTTGATTCAGCAAAAAAATTCGTAGCAGAAATTTTCTAACAATTCAAAACTGTCAAAAAAAGAGCGTTAACTGAGTTACAAAGACTCCAGTGCTTCAAGTAGATTATGTAATCTGTCAGAGCTGGTGAAGAAAATGTGGTAAAGAAATTTAGTGGGATAGAGACAGAAGTTACTGGAAAAAGCCACCATAATATTCTGAACTATTTCAAGAAGAAAATGTGTAATGCTTGTTCAGTTTTGACATGCAGAGGCAGTATAAGAAACTGTGTAGGAATATCAAAATTTGCTGTAACGTCTATACTGAGTTGGGTATGGTAAAACAATGTGGAAAGGCCCATAGGGTTTTCCCCACTCTTAGAAAGTGACTTATAGTGTACCCTTTAACTTCAGAGCTAAACAAATTTGCCAAGCATTAATTAGAAATTTGGTCATTAAAGAGAAGTAATATATGTTAGACAGTGAATTTACATGCGCTTTTATTAAATTACGTTATTTTTTTTCATACCCAATGACCAAGACTGAGAAGAAGAGGTCTTACAAAACGAGGACGCCGAATCTCCAAATTCTACGTTTTGAAATCAGCATATTTATATATGGAAAATGAGTAGAATTCAAAGGTTTTGTGTATTTTGAAATGTAGGCATCAAATCATTTACTTTATGAAGTGTAGAGCATGCTTTGAAAATTAAGAATTCATGTTTTTCACATGAGAACTGTGTGCGAAAATCTGTACATTGCTCTCACCAAAGCCAAGAAAACCTGGTGAAGAAGGTTGAATATAAATTCCAAAATAAAATATTGAAAAGTAAAGAACGCATACAGGAGAAGAAAGAGAAGAGCGAACAGCAAAAGGTGTTAAGAATAACTTTCTGAAAACGTTTTTTGCTTTGAAGAAAAATGTTAAAAGAATTTTTAGCATTTCTTTCGTACGCTTTTCATCTGTGTCTTTGTTCGCATTGCGTTAGTGGAGAAGTGCTCCTACATCAACCACATCAACCACCGTTCATCCTAAGCTATTTCCTCTCTACATCACTCCTTCTTCCGATAAATGCTTTCTAAAGAACATACTCTAAATGGCTAATGGTTTAGTTAAAAGGTCTATGGTTGAAATTTTCTGTACAGCATTCGTCATGTATTATTTTTAAGTCAACTAAGAGTGAAAGAAAGCTCAATTTAATGCACAACTATACTTTTCAATAAATAATCTTTGTTCTAATTACTGTAGTTTAGGCACTTCCTTGCGGTCTAAATTTTGTTATCAGTTCAAGAATTACTTTCCAGGGCTCTATTTCAATTAAAAACGAAGGAGACGACGTGCGTTGCCAAAATCAAGAAAAAAACCTCCTTAACTTTAGTAGGACAAACAGAATAAGTTTAGGACCTTCTTCAAGCATGAAAGAAACAGAGCACATGACGCAAAACAATTAAATGCAAAAATATCCTAACAAATAAGAAAAAACTATGTTAAAGAAACAACCGTTTTAGTTTATATCACTTACTCCTTCCTCCCCGTTTTCAGAACACCCACTTCTCTAATCATAAATGTTATCTTACAAACAGTCGGT